AGTCTAAGGTAAATTTGGATAAGATGGCCATCTTTAAAATGCAAAAAAAAACAAACTTTTTTTGTTATCTTTAACAGTATTATACTAGTATCTATTAGGTGTTGGAATTAATTCGTAGCGTTTTACAAGTGATGGGAAGTACTTTCATTAATGTATTTTTTAATGCTCATGTGAAATAAATAACATTCTTTCATTAAAAAACGCTACGAATTAATTCCAACACCTAATATATAATATTATTGAATTTTCTGTTTGATGGAAAAGTATATGTACCAATATAACACTATTAAAGATAACAAAATTAAAATAGATATTTTTTGCATTTTGAAGATGGCCATCTTACTAATAAGTTTACTCTATTTTGAGGAGAAAAATCTACAACGTAGACAAATTGTTTAGTTCTCGAGTTATCTAGTGTCTCTCGATTCTCTGGTCTGCACTACGTTGAGTGTATTGTAATTTATAGTGCATACGTGCGCATATCGCTCATTTGTCAGTCGGTCGCGGATACAATGGTGAGACAAAATACAGATAAATACGCATTCCGCGGTGGTACGTGCTTCACGTACATAAATAATGGACACCAGTTTTTCCGGTGATCGCGATTCCGAAACCGAAATCTACATATTCGCGTTTGCTCGTTGACATTCGCGGATCGTTCATGGTCTCATCGAGTGTTAAATGTTTTTCTGAACACTGTATGTTCCAGCAATGTTCCTTGTTGATCGTAACAGATGATAACCGGTTGTCAAGACATGTATGCGTTTGTGCAAAGAAACGCGTGTAAGAACTATTTTCCGCGAGAGATATATTTAATTATAAATGAAAACTTATCTCACGACGCAAAGGTGTGAAGGTTCTTTTTTTAATCTTACAGAGCTGCGAGATGCATTTTCATGAAAGATATACGACAGAATTTTGAAAATTTACGAAGAGCATTTAGAAGTTCACAACACTTAGAAATTCATACCCGTGATTTTATGTAATTCCGAGCTATTGTATTATATATGCAGAAATTTTGCGAAACTTCTTTTTACGTAACTTATTTATATTGTTAACTAGACACTCGCAATGATCAGCCTTCTCGATGCATGATGATGCATTTTTTAAATAACATACATGTTCTTGCGCGTAAACATCTGTCATTACAGCTAATTTTTCGATTTGGCGCGTTTTTCGCAAAATGTAAATTTTTACGATTAGAGTTATTGAAAATTTACCTTATAAAAATATTAACCTTATAAAAATTGACTATCAAGAAAACGCTAATATAATACTTAACAAGATTAAATTAAAGTTTTTAATAAAGAATAAACTGTATAACAAATTTTCCAAGACATTTTTTTACACAAAAATAATGTCTATTTATGTAAAATCGTGATTTATATATAGAAACGGAAATATAATTATCTCACAGAAGGGCAAAATATATTTTCATTTCCACATTAATATTGAAAAATATTACATAATTAAAATTTTAATATTAATCATAATGGTATTTTAATTAATATTAGTATTAATAATTTAAGTACATTACTCTAATATTAAACTTTAAAATTGTTGACGTTTAATTTTAGACTGCCAACAGTTTATTTATTTCTCAACATTAGAGTACAATAATTAAAACCACATTTTGTTACATTAGAATAATTGATATTGAAATATCAAAGTTATAATTAAAGGAGTACTAGAAACTAGTGTACAATTCTGAATCCAGTATGCAGTTTGCGTGAATAATACAGGAATAGTTTGATAGGTTTGTGTTGAACTAACTCGACTTATTCGACGTATTTGTAAGCGATGATGCGCGCAACTATTCCCTATACGCTTGTGTAAGCAAATTGTTGAAGAAGATCTCAGCACATGATACTACGGCAATGGGATTTGATTCCGCAAAGAAGTGACAAACTACGGCAAATTAACCGTCTTGGATTTTGATTCGCCAGTTTTTTATCATATAGGTAAAAATTTAAGAAAAATTACAAATAATTTTAAGAGAATAAAAACAATAATTACAAATTATGAATATTTCCGTAAATATTTATTTTTACAGAAAATAAATATAGAAAAGTGGAATTTTCTAAAATTAAACAAACTCAATTATGAAAATTCTTTATCTATTTATCTATCTATCTATCTAGCTATCTATCTATCTATCTATTTATCTACTTATCTATCTATCCATCTATTTACACGCACTATCAGCTTGATAATGATTTTTTTATTAATACTTTCATGAAATTGTTCTTTTAATTTTTAGAAATTTTAATACCATATCTTTCAAGCAAAAGTATATAACGTTTAAGTTAAATATATTACTTATTATTAATACGTAACAATACAAATTTAGAAGATTGATAGAGCCGAGAAATGTGATTCTTATTAGTTGTTTCTAGTTTGCCTATCTTCTCAGACGACGCTATCGCTCACAATTCCCTTTACGTCGAAGGGACATTTTGAGTTTAATGTAACTTTGTCTATGCGGCAGCGAATGCGGATCTTGCATCTCGCCATTGCATTCATTGGCCTAGTTTGGACCGTACAATTGATCCACATACCGAGCACTTCGTGTCGAATCGCACTTCACTCTCTGGGTACATCAGACAAGCAAGCGGCGCCTCGCGTGTCGCGAAGTACATAACATTACGCCTTCCATTATTCCATCATCTCTAAAGGATGAAAAATGGACTACCGCATATTATCGATATTTTGACTGTCGACTTTTACACCCGCAAAAATGCTTATGATGTAGACGTAAAATTACAGCGCATGCTTCTCTAGACGGTAGAGTGAAGTTCTGACAAGTTGCACCGTCACGCAAAGGGAAGATTTAATCTTTACCAGATAATAGTCACGCGACTCTTGTTAAAGTAACGTTAAAAGTATTATATTATTATATTAATGTATATGTATAAGTAATTTAATAAATAAAAAAGACGTATATTTTTTTTCATTATCATCTAATTGTTTGTGTGCGAAACTTTCAAAGGTCATAAATTTAATTTTTGTAGATCAAACACTTTTCAGAATATAATATAAGAATGATATATATATTTTTTTCGTCAAAACTGTTAAATTGCTTAATTTTCAACGTAAATAATCACATGATAACGTATTAAATTTAACATCACGCAAGATCCATTAAATATATTTTATTTAATCATCTTCACTTCATAATGTAAAAAAATATTCCCGATCTTGTCACATATGATACGAATGAAAAGAAACTTAGTTACTATTGTATTGAAGAGAATGTGAGCTCATCTCACATGTGTCGACGATTTTATCTTTTTCTGCTCTGCTTTATTTCGGAGCAAGCAGTGACCTAAAGAGCTGATTTGTTATTTAAATTTCATATTTTCAACATGTGACCACATCACCGACGAATCTCAATTGCAGATTGCTCCTCTTTACCGTGAATAAACACGTATTTATACGAGACTCCTTGAATTTAATGAGAATGTCATCGCTGGACTCCTCAAGATCAATTTAATGTTTAATTATTATCTTAGTCACTACACAGTTCGCACAGCTGTTAATTTAATCTGAAAACTTTATATAACTTTATATAGCTTTATTTGATGTCAAAAGGAATTAATGAATATTTTGCATATTGTATGTATATTACAATATAAATATTATTAAACACATATAAACACAAATAAATAAATACTATTTGTCAGATAGATATCTTGTTGTGTATTATGTATTTTCTAAGATTAATCGAGAATCTTAAGATAAACTTAATCTTAAGATAAGACAAGTATAATTGTTCTGTGAATAAAACAATTCATAGAAACAAAATGAATGTAAATAATTTAATTAAACCCTCGTTTATCGTAATTAATATTTAATTTGATAGTATATTGGATGTTTGACTATTTTTTAATGAAAAAGAGATTAGGTATATGCAAGTACGATTAACCATGTAAACAGAATATATTCCCTTATTGACACAATAAATTGAAGTAATAAATTATTTTTCAATAAATAGAGTATATGAAATACAATTGTAAATATATATTTATTGTCTGAATGTAATTTGGATATAATAAGAAATGTTATTAAACAAAAAATTAAATGCAAAAATGTAAGAATAAACGAGATTGTTTAAAAAATATCAGAATCTATTCTCGATTTTTAAATTTGATTTTCAGCATTTCCACGTGTCTCTTTCTCATTATCAACGTAATGCAAGTCAATAAATGAACTGTTCATGTATTAGATCATATAAGACTTCATCCGCATTGTCAAAGCTTATTTATTTATATATCGTTCGTGGCCATTTAAAGGAGCGTATCAGTGACGCTTTTCCCCGTTCCGTAATTATTTAATGACGTCAAGTATCGTACCGATTATCTCGATAAACGATAATCCAATACCGCGCGTTGGCTGTCTGACATTTTGTTATCGAGCTGGAGCTCTGCACTTTTAAACAACGGCGCAGTAATATAAGGATAATTCTTTGATAAAAAATCTTATAAATTTTATAAATGGTATATGATATATGTATAGTATAACCGGAAGTTTAAAGTATAACTGAAAGTTTAAAGTAATTTTACCTATCATAAAATTATCATCGTTAAACAACCATGGGCATTATTAATAATACAATTTTTTATAATAGAAAAAGTTATGTCATGATCAATTTCTTTTATTACGAAAACTTATGAAACTTTTTAACTTTTTAAAGTTTAAAAAAAACTTAAAATTTTCCTTACAAATTGTTTTTTGAAAATGTTCCTAAGATTTTTGTTACTGAGTTACCGCAAAATAAATAAAAGATTTGAAGAATGCATTTTGATTGGAATGCTTATAACTCCGTTAAAAATCATAGTATTGCGCAGTTCAAATAAATTCCGTCGATAAGAAATGGCGATAGAAAATGTTGCAGTATATAAATGTTGTTACTATTGTTTCTAATGCTTCTATGATATAATTGAATTCTATGATATAAAAAAATAGATCACAGATGAAAAAATAATTTTCTTCTTTTTCAGAGGTTCTGCGGTCGATAGTTCTCCCTCAAATTCACCTACTTCGAAGACGACAGGTGCTTCTGACACTGAACAATTATCGACGGATGCGCCAGGCCCGTCGAAAGTACTATCGAGTCCGGAGTATATCCAAGAAGTACGCAAAGACAGTGCATTGTACCTTGAAGAGGGTGAGGGTACGCTAAAGACTGTGACACAGACTACTACTGATGTTCTCCGAAGACAGAGCAGTGGCTATGTGAGCCGTCGAGATAGTTTGGAGGACAACAGAAGAAATTCCACGAGTGACACGCAACAGCAAGAGAAGGAGAGATACAAATCGAAATCAATAACTCTTGGAGCCTTGATTGAGGATCTTGCTGGTAGAAAAGAGGAGAACATTGAGGAGAACATTGAAAATATTAAGCCATCCACAGAGGCAGCGAAAGAGAGAATGCCAACGACAGAGATATATAGAAAGGTGTCGAGTTCCAACCTCGACATGCCCGACGTTGATGAGGCGAAAGAGGTCGTCAGAGAGAAAACTCTGCCCCGGCAAAAGAGTTTCGAGACCCAGGAGATCACCGAAGGACTGACGACACGTCTCAGTAAGTAAACTGAGTCACTGTTAATACGATCAAGTTAAATAAAACGAAATTCTCTCTGTGGAACGCATAATTAGAGTCCTCCGGACAAACATCGTAGGTAAAATAATTTAACAAGACGGAAAATCAATCTAAAAAGTTCTTCTAATTTCATTATATATATACATTATTTTAATATATACTTTTTTTATTACTTTCATTTAAAAACACAAATTACTTATTACAATATATTGGGTCATTTAAAAAGTATCCGCGGTTTTTTCATTCAAAAATTGAACAAAAAACTACGGATACTTTTTAAATATCCTAATATAAACATCTCATTCAAAACATGTTTTTCGACTTTCTCAATTTTGTTACTTAATGAAACGATTACTTGAGTAAGATAAAAAAAAATGACAAAATTCTTGAAATTCATGGAACGTATAATTATACAGAGATTCTTCCAGATATATATCGTAGAGGTAAAATAATTTGACAAGGTGCTCTAATGTAGAAAATCGCCGACTTAAAAAAATGTTCTTATATATAATTTTATATACATTACTTTCATTCAAAACAGATTACTTGTTATACATATAATTTAATCTCGTTCTTATAAAGCGTATTTTTCGTCCCTCTCAATTTTGTTACTTAATGGAACGGGCTCGAGGGTAAGATAAAAAATGACGGTATAAAATATAATTCCCTTCAAAATTAATTTGCCAGGATTTTCACTGTTCTTAATATCTTCTTAGGCGATATGCAAGTGACGTCTATTTTCAAGAACCCCAATATTTACCTTCCGCGCAATAGCGGCAAAAATACACCATCGGACGAGGCGGGCACAATTCAGCAAGTTGACACAGTCATCGATCATTCTGGCGGCAACTCGAATTGTAAGAATGTGCACAAGACAAACGTGGAAACTATTATTGCCTCGGATAATAATCGGACTGTAGATTTGAGAAAATTATCCTTGCCCGACGAAGCAGGACCGAGCCAGCGACTGTTCGAGAAAGCTGACGTCACCTACAAATCCGTTCATTCTCGCTACCCTCACGCCAGCCCTCATAGATCGCCCAGGAAACGTATCAGAGCGCTCAACAGGGAATGTTCCGTCGATAGCCAGCATGACAGCCAACAGCAATTAAACCAATACAAAGTGCTGAACGAAATCGGAAAGGTAAGATTAAAATTCAGTTAAAATCCATTTAAAATCAAGTAAACAATAATTCTATCATTTATATTTGTCCCTAAAAATTGTAAAAGTTTTTATATAATTATTATACATACTTAATCGCTTATATGAAAATCATTAGAAATTGTACAAATGTCTTTGTTAGGAGAGAATCAACTTCGAATTTATGGAACAATTCACATGAAAAAAATAATATAAAATACTTTGCATACAATTTATTAAATAACGAATTGACTTTTCAATTGTCAGAAAATTATGAAAGAGTTTGCGTTGGACATTTCACCATTAGAAATTTTATAGCAAGTATACAATTAGTTATTTACAGAAAACGCGAATCTCTCTAACCTGATTCATAAGTGGAAAATATTCGCGCCGAATTAAATTCGTTTGCTACAGTCTAATGCCTTTTCAATTATATCCGCGGCATTTTAACAATCAAGTTGTATTTATCGATAAGAGGATCAACGTATCGCGTTTCTCTCATTGAAGAACGAAACCATTTCACGGCGCTCATGTAATAAACGAGAGAATGATATGATTATCGATATCGAGTGGATGCTTCCTCGATAACCAATAACACGTGCCGTAAGTCATCATTTTCAGCAATTTCCCCTCTTGCCCATCCTTCGTACTTGTTAAGAAGTAATTAACAACCGCGCAGTTACGGATTACTACCGATAATCACGTTATATCGCACTCGATAACGCAATATTACCCGCAGGACTAGAAGTTTGAACGACGCAGAAAATTATTAAAATCATCATCTTCATGCGCAATTTTTTTATTTCATCATTATATTGTCGACGTTTACGAGATAAATAAATTGCACATTTTTTTTCCTGTCATACGTTATATATTAATTTGCTGACGCGTTTTCTCGAGAATTGTTTGTTATATGACTGTCTAACGAGTTAAATTTTTTTCTTTGAAGTATATATTTTTCTTTTATTTTTAAATTAATTTCTGTTAATTTTTCAATTAATTAAATGAAAACTCGAAAATGATAATTTTAATAAAAATGCTTAATGCTTTCGCACAAAAATTAGAGAACAAGGAAATAATATTGAATAAACATGTGAAACAGAATAGAAAGGTTAAAAGTCGCTCGCACTTTTAGAAAAACAGCAAATTCCGTTTGATGTAAATGTCGCTCGAACATTCCCTTCGAATGAAAATGCTAACAAAAACCAGTACAAAAATGAAAATGCGAAACTCAATGCTTACGCATCCAGTATAGCATGATTGGATTCAAAATAAATGCAAGAAAGAAAAGACAACCGCCGCAACTTCGCACTTTGCTATTACTGAGTGAAAAGCGCAAAACTTCCAACTGCGAAAAGAAGTTTGCAGCGCACGATCTTGAGGTTTGCGTCGAGAATTCCAGAGATCGTTTCCCCAGAGACGAAGAAAGAGAGAGAGAGAAAGAAAAAGAGAGAAAATATAGTATTTTTTTATGAACAAGAGAGCAAATGTCATTTCATGCGTGAGATTATCTTTAACGAATAGATAGAAAAAGAGAGAGACGAATTCGCGAAGTTCACGATTGAATTTCTCTTCCTCTTATCGTTTAAAACTACATTCGAACTCGAGATTGAATTCCTCATCGAGGTAAGAGCCATCGATTGAAATAGAGTTTGATGTCGACGATTAATTTTTTCAACCTCGCAATACTGAAATGTTCGAAACGCGCAATCGCCATCGTCGTGCATTCATAAACAATATATCGATCTGGCTTTTTCTCGGTATCTAATATCGTTATTGGCATCGATTATTTTCCTCTACTACATAATTCTACAGTAAAGATTTTGTCGAGACAAGGAAAAACCAGATAATCATTATACCGATTACTATATTGCGTCAAAAGTTGTTTTTATGTGAAATTAATTCATTTTATGAGGAATTAATTAAAATTCATTGAAATAATTGTAAATGATATAAATGATATAGCAATCTTCTAATTATAAAAAATTATTTTTTCAAGTTATCCTTGTCAATATAATTTTAATTATCCAAACACATAAAGTCAACTTTGGAACATTTATTATTTGTTACATTCATTATTAGAGATTAAGATGCGAGATTAAGATAAGAGTTACAGATACATTTTTAAATTTTGCATCACTTATATATTTATAACGAAATAATGACCACGACCGGACGTACTCAAAGGTGACCATACCGTGAACCATAAAATTATGCTTCTACTCCCGATAGCATCGCCGATGACCTTCGACATAGTCTCCACGGTGATATAAAGCGCATTATGATAACAGCGTAGCTGAACCACAAAAAAGGTTGCAAGGTTAAGGTAAAAGGATGCGAAGAGAGTCATGAGATTATCGATAAAATCTTCCATAACTCCTCTTTATATTATGTTCATCCCAAAATATTATTTTACAATATTTTTCGTATCAACGTTAAGAATATTCCATTTGAAATCCGTCCGCGTCAACAAAAAATCATATTTCAGAAAAGAGAAAATATCCTCTAATAAAAATAATCTTCGTTAAAAGAAAAATAAAATACTGTATTAAAAATATTACTTCATTAAGATGAATGAATAATTTTTCATATTTTTATCAAAATAAAATATGAATTGAAACTTTCTTGCTATTTATATTGCATAAATAAAAATACTCTTGACGTTGACGACGACCTTTTTAGAAGCATTCAATGATACGTTTGTTTGTCGAGAATGTTGAAAAAAATGAAAAGTCGAATTATAAACGCAGAGAAACCCCTAAAAATGTCAAGCGTCGCCTGAGATCAAACAGGAACGCGCTGTGCTTTCGCGTCTTCACTTATGCATCACTTCGCACTTGTATAGGGCTCTTTCGGTGTCGTGAAGAAGGTTTTCAACGAAGAGGATAGCACGTATTACGCCATGAAAATAGTGAGCAAGAGGAAATTAATGAAAAAAACAGGGATATTTGGAAGAATACCACCGCGCAGAGCAGGTGCTGATCCCTTGGCGAAAGTTTATAGGGAAATCGCCATTCTGAAGAAACTCGATCACCCCAACGTCGTGAAACTAGTCGAGGTGTTGGATCATCCCGACAAAGATAATCTCTATCTGGTCTTCGAACTAGTCCACAGGGGTGAAATCCTCCTTATACCTACCGATAAACCTCTGAATGAAGAAACGGCCAGGCGTTATTTTCGCGATGTTGTCTTGGGAGTCGAATATTGTAAGTCATTATGTATACATTTTATTCATAAAAATTAAAAAATTGTTTGAAAGAATTTTTTCCTATAAAAATTCTAGAAAATTCTATATAATTCAACGATTAGTTATTAAAATTAAATCCCACATATCTCGAGATTAATTAGCACGTGCAACGTTTTGAAATTGATTTTAGTAATATTACCACCAAATTCGAATAATAGTGTGTAAAATTTAAAATTTCTTTTCCTTTTCTAGGTTTTTATCTTCTGAAAAAATTTTCCAAATTTAGAAGATTGATATTTTAATCACGTATTAAATTTAATCAGCATACGCCCACATTTGACATAAACTATGTTTATCATGTACGCGTTAAATAATAGAATGCAAATCCTCTCGACAGGCGGATTTGCGTAATGTATCTGGCGCCTATTACGGATCACAACGTTCATCGTGGATCAATGGTAAAAGAGGCGTCATATGCATTACGTAAACTCAGTGATCGTGTTAGTATACTTTACATGAGAGTGTAGTATAGTCGCGTTAGACACTATTCAATAAAACATCAAACTGCTTAGATGATAATCGACTTAAAACTTGTAACATCTTACTACGTGAAGAAGAGAGATGAGTAAGATGTATTCATTAAGTTACGTAAACAATCTTCAAGTTAAGAAATACTCCGTATAACTACGAACATAATATATTCAGACTTTTAGAATTAAATTTTAATAAAAATTGTGTGATTGCATTAAAAACGGTATTATATATATAATACTTATTTTTTGTTTTCGCAGTGCATTACCAAAAGATAGTGCATCGTGACATAAAGCCAAGCAATCTATTGGTGGATAGAGACGACAGAATTAAAATCGCTGATTTAGGTGTCAGCACGGAATTAAGAGAATCTGGAGAATTATTAACAGGACAAGCTGGTACACCGGCTTTCGCAGCGCCTGAAACAACCGTTGCTAACGCACAGTATTTGGGACCGGTAAGTAAAGTCACAGCATTATATATTATTCTCGAAGTATAATGTACAATCGATATCCAGACACAAAAAGAGGATCCGACTCAAGTAGAATATAATTACTATATATTCCTAGTAATATATTTATAATATATTTCCAATATATTCTAGAAATCAATTTCTAGAATATACAGAAGCCGTGATCACATTAAAATATAAAGTAACTTAAAAATTATCGTCTCTGATATGTACAGAAAAAAATCCTATTACATACAGAGCTAATTATCATATAATGGCTAACGATAACAATAATTTATAGCAACAATCTGTACTGAAAATAAAATTTTTAATTTCAAAGAAATATTTCTTTGCTTGTATTAAAAAAAAATTATTTCTTAATTGGATCAAAGAAATTTTCATTAATCCAAAGAAATAATTTTTTTGAATACGAGCAAAGAAATATTTCTTTGAAATAAAAATTTTTTTCAGTATGGTTCATAAATGTGTTTTACAAAAAAAAGAATTCTATTACATTACAGGGGGGGGGGGGGGAGGGAGGCAGAGTTCTAATATTTAATGCGTGACTTATTTTCTTTAGGTATAATATAATTCATCTATATCGTGCCAATCTATCTCCTCATTCTTCTTTGTTGTCAGATTTATTAATTATTGAAATCGGATTTTTCTGAGCGCTGAACACGTTTCTATTGTGTTCTTCCATTCGCGGAATTCGATACGCTCGCGATACACATTTGCAATATTCACGACGGCACATTGAAGTCGCAATGAAACGAGATCAGACAACAAATAACGCAGCGCTTATCCAAGCGACCGATTTCATTCTGTGAGATTAAAAGTCGATAAATCGGCCGGCTATTACATGTCACTTCCACCCGCAAGCAGTGACCTCTCAAACCGCAGAGTCGACACGTGCGAATTGACCTACATGCATCGGAAGCGAGGTTCCCGATCAAGGACCCCTCGCGCGATGCATAAATGTTCGTGATTATACAGCAAAAAGAGATTTTCCGACCACGTCACTCCCAGGCGTCGATCTCGACTGATTGAATACGCTTCAATTAGAATCGTTAAATTCACGTACATCGCGTCGCCTGCTCCGAATAGTCTCCGAACGAACTGAGCGTAGTAATGCAATGTGACGATCCGACAAAGAAAGGCGCAACAAAGTGGCCGATGCAACAGTGAGGCAATTTGCGTGTCCCAGCTGCGTTGAGTTCATTAGGTTGCATACGTTGCAGGCTTTAAGCGCGGAGAAAAAAAAAAGGTCTGACGTTGCGGGCTAATTCTGAATTTTCGAAGGTTTCGCATTTCACAAGCGAAACAGTTTTGTATTTTATAAAAGTGTTTTAATAGGCAAAAACCTGCAACACAATAGGACTGTACAAAATATATTCAATGTTACAAAAAATGAATTTTATTAAAAACACTTTTAGCTCTCTTTGTTTCAACGATAATCTTCTCCATTAAATGAGGATCTTTCTTGAGCAAAAATTTTACAGTACGCCAGCTTTTTGTTATTCAAAAATAAACCTGATATTGATGTTTCATAAAAATATATGCTCGTAATACACACGCATGGTATACATATATTCGAAAAAACATAGAGATAGTAATTGCCAAGCTTGAATAGTTATATTTCATCCTGTTTTTTTTTCTCTTTTTCTTCAATCAGTGCTTCACGATGGAATGCAATTTATACGAATGTGTTTCCTGTGAATATTGATTGCAAAAAAAAATCTAAATATAGCAATTGAATTTTAAACTACGATCATGTTTAAACTATCATGTTACGCGATGAATGTATGTTAAAAAAACGTGATATTAGTATTGGATATTAGAAAATCTTCGAATAATATTATAGCAAATCTAAATATAACATTATTTCAAAACTAAATTATCGTCAAATGATCACAACTCTTCATATAGATCTGTTTTCAATTTTCTCACAATGTCATAGCAGTAAATTATCTTTGCTCTACTATATCACAGTTAATCGAATTATGAGTAAAAAATGATTCGACTTTTGCTTTGCACGCAACGTATCGTACAAAAGGCCGAGCCAACTGTTATTTTTCGCTATCTTTTTAATTTTAATGCGCATTTTCAACTATTCAAGAAAGAACTTTTCAAGAAAGGTCATAGTTCAATTATCCTTCACATTATACCTAGATCATGTCAACCCTCATGCCATTCATAACCCTAATATAATCATCAAGATTTTCTCATCAACTCCCCTACTGTTTTTTAATATCTCCGGTGGTTTCTTTTCGTATCACTCATTTCTAATTATATCTTTCGCATCTTCTACCTCAGCCGCTAATTATCACAGTAACTTAATTATAATTCGCCATTAAGTGTCATCTACTTGTACGTCAAAGAAGTATAGTATACATGTTAAGTAAGTCGAAATGTTTAATCGTATTGGAAACGTATCATAACTTTCGTCGTAGAAATGATACAAATTTTGTCTAATTAGTAGCAAGCATAAAATTAACACATATCAATCACGTTATTACGCCTTTGACTATTCAAAAGGGAAAAAGCGACAGCGAGAAAGAGAAGGAAAAAGACAAAAGAGTATATTTTAGCACAGCAATTATAATTCTGTGCCCCCATATATCTTCAAGATTACTTAGTCGAGAGTCGAGACTACTGTTATCGCATGACCTTATCGACATACCACGGCCGATCGCTTGAATTTCCGCTGCGTCGAGGAAAGGCGATATCTATAATAAGAGACTCACGACCCGCGAGACCACACGCTCGATTACGCTTAATCAAGTCGCCGTGGCAAAATAAATGATCACTAGCCTGACGAGACGACGTGCTTATGTGAAAATGCGACGAGGGGAAATCGGGAGTGTACCGCAATATCTACGAAATTGCCCATGATCTCTAAATAAAAATACACAAGGCTACACGAAATCTTGTGGAATTCAACGAAAACGCGAGAAAAATGGGAAGCTTGTGACAGAATTGGAACAACATTTCGCTGAGTATTCAAAATTTAATAAAAATATTTTCATTTTTATACTATTTCAATATTGGCTACGGACTTTTCTATTGGCTCAAAATGTCAGTTCACTTTATTTTGCACAACATACATTGAATTAAACCTGGATATTTACTATTTTCTAAAATCCATGGAATTCCGCAATTTCAGAGTGTCGTTAATATTTCTTATTTATTTAATCTTTATTTTGATTTATCAATTAAAGAGAATTTTAGAAATAACTGCACACAGTGCAGTAAACATCACAGTTATTATTATTTCCAAAAATTTAATGATAATTGATAACAGCTTTTGGCAAAGTATTGAGTGACGCAATATTACTTTGAACACTCTCTAAATTTTAAAATGAAATATCAATTCACTCCAAAAGACTGAAAATTGAGCCAGTCTTAAAAAAAGAGAGAAAATAATTTTCACTCTTGAACAAGAGTGACAGATTTTCACTCTTTATATGAATGAGATTTCATTCTTTTGAAATAAGATTTCACTCTTTTGGAATAACTCCAAAAAAAAGGAGTGAGACTTCATTTCTTTGAAATTTCACTGCAAAAGAGTGAAATCTTACTCCAAAAAAAAAAAAAATCTCCCACTCTTGTTCAAGAGAGAAAAATTTTCATTCTTTTTTCAAGAAAAATGCTCAATTTTTACTCCAAAAGATTTAGAGAATATTTTGATATAAATCATTGTCTCAACATTCATTTTTTTATATATCTATAAATTATTATTATGATACACATTTACGTTTAAAGCAAATCTACGCTTATTTCATTGAGACATCAAACTTATAAACTAACCTTTACAATATTTTTTTAGATAATCTTTTATGCATTTTTTGAGTTTGTATATATATTATATATATTTTTTTTTTAATTTTTTGCGAGTCATATCTTGTTTTATTTTTATTTAATTTTCAGTCATTTCAGTTTAATAATTTTTTTAAAATTTATATGTAGATTTGCTTTTTTTAATCGCCAGTTTCACAGTACTCTTTTGCCGCTCGTATTTACAGATATCGATTTTAGATTTTACTTTTTCCCTTTACAAAGAATGTTTCCAACTGCTTTTTATTAGCAATTTATTTTTATAACAAAAATAAAATCTACCTTTTGAATATTTTGATCTTCAATTTATTCCACATACCTATGTTCGATACAAAATATTTTCATCGTAATTTAAATGCGAATTTTAATTATCCTTGATTTGAATTTTTTCATTTATTTTACACTTACTCTTAAAAAATAGATTGATGGATTACATCAAATCTATTTACTACAAAAATCTGATAACAATTCCATTTAAGAATGCGTTAGCTAATGGGATGGATTACAATAAAAAACAGTCTGTAGAGGGAAAAGTATACCTTTCAAAAAAGTTCAAAATTTTATAACGAAACAAGTTATAAGCTGTAAATAGATAAGAAAATTTTATTAATCAGATAATCTGAGATAGATATAAGTAGAACTTTAACAAAACTTTACATCAGGCAAATAAACAGAAATTGTAATTTTTTATAAAATTTTCTATTTTCGCGTCTTTTATGAATTTTTATTTTGATGAAAATAATATATTTTACTCGTTCATTCTAACAAAAGAATTTTTTCAATTGCAAAAACGCATGAGTAAAAAGAGTGGTACAGAAACATGCAATACCCACAAATCAACTTGCGTTCGTTTACCTTCCACATTACATTTTCACATTACTGAAATTCCAGGGAAAGCTTAACTAATTTGGCGGTTAACGACTTTGTTCAATTGAGGAATATAAACGTGCACAATGCATTACAAATTCCAAACCTTCTCAGCATAGTTACGCATGTACATTTAGGTCAAAAGCTTTCCCTTCAAAAACCACGAGTATCGTAAAATACAAAACCTTTTATGGAACGATAATGTATAACCAACAATTTAAAGTAGATGGGAAAAAAATAGTATAAAAGTTAATCTTTAAAGATCAGATAGATATTATTCATGCGTCATTTACGTCTAACCGACTGAGAGTATTTTTTAAATGTCATAGTATGGAGTTCACGGACGTTAGGTTTAGCTTTGTGAGACAGGAACTGTGTTCTCGTAAGCTTTTTATACATAAGAAACGTTCCCTTTGTGGATCTAATAAACATAGAAGCTTGACATTTACAGATTTACGGAAGGCACGCGTGCAGGACAGATTTTTGTTTAAAAAAAAAACCAGACAATATGTCTCGATGTAAACGGAAAATAATATCGAAGAAAATTAGCTGAAATATAGAAAATTATCTTAATTTAACGCAAAATATATATAGATACTCTTTTGCCTTGTTCATGAAGGGACTTTCTCGAAAGATTAACAATAAGCTTTTTAGTAAACTAAACAATAGAATAACAGTATGAGATAATTATCGTTTATATTCTGCTCCGTTGGATTTACGCGACGATTTACGTTGTTTAATTAATCGCCTTTAATTATGTGCCGACATCACGTCGTTACGAACCTCGCGATTTTCACCGTAGGCGATGTGATTTCCGCAAGTGAAGCATCCTCCTGACTGCACCGTATTAAAGCACGTCGTATTCTATTCTCTGTTTTGCGGTTAAATGCGCCGCGTATCGAGACTTTAGTTAACAGTTTCCTAGTGTGTTATCATTCATTTAATGGCATATCTCTCTCTCTCTCTCTCCCCCCCCCCTCTCCCTCTCTCTCTCTGTCACCATATTTCAAGATCTACTACATTGAACCATGGTTTTACCACTCTTAAACGGTCGTAATGAACCTCAGTGCTAAATTATCCAAATTTCTAAAGAGTTTCTGTAGATTTAAAATTTTTTTTAATATTAATTTCAATAAGATGTTTTCTAAAAATTTCAAAAAAGGAACGAGATCGAATTAAACTTTAAAATTATTCTAGTTATTTCATTTAAAGTTCACACGAAGTCTAATGAGTTTAATAACCATTTTTCATCGTGCATTAAAAACTATTCAACGCTCATCTTGAAAGCTATATAAATAATAAACTCTGTCGTGACTTTTTTATTCTACAAAATAAATCTCGAAAATATATTTTAAACTGGCCTAAAGTTTTAGGTCGATATTCATATATAATCGATATTTAAGTACATCAAGACCTCTCTCTCTCAAATACAATTGCTTTCTATTTATATCAAAACTCAGATAAATTCTCACATTTGTGACGTCATAATTCAATTAAACGCGCGCACGCACATGTTTCTTTTTATTCTCTGACAAGTAAGATTCAATTGAGTTTTTTATTATTTATAATCTGCACAAGTTTGAGCGTGTGTTTTACTGAGTCTTGTTAACCAACATTAAAAGTAAAATTATAAACCTGTGATATGCGATAACTTTGTCACTAAAGTAAGCAAATAATAACGTTATTACCTGAGTATAAAATACTCACATAACTTTAGATTTATGCCCGTATTTATAGTCAATCCTTATATTTAAAGCTTCCTTAAAATATATATAAGGTCTGATTATGAATACAGGCATTAGTATCACTTATGGGAAGCAATTGGTATCTTAAGATGTTAATATGAGCTTGGAACTGGTTTATGACATTTTAAAAGTGTCTTCAATATCAGATTTATCTATAAATAATGGCCTTAATCTCTCCTAACTGACAATCTCAGACAATTTGAATTTTATTTATATCAGAAGATTGTATAGATTATACTCATGATTGCCAGTTCTTGGATTTCCGACCGGAGATTTTAGTCTTTTTGAACGAATTTTCGGTTCTCTAGCTGATGGAAAATATTTGATGACGTTTTTTTTACATTTTTAAAAGAATGCTTTACAGTACAGTAATAATTTTGAAAGTATCATAAAGTACCTTTTGAAAATACTTAGCAGTCCGATCTTTGGCAAGATAAATAAAATCTCTAGTTTTTAAGCCAGAGAAATCTGACAACCGTAATTACACTGAGAAAAACCTTTTGGTATTTGTAATTATAATTACTATAATTATAAAATTCAAATAATATAATTATATAGTAATGATTGAAATTTCCCTAAAAAATTATTCAAATAACTATAATTATTATCAATTTCCATTGCCAATTACATATATATATATATAGTTGATAGAACTGCACGTATAATTATTATTACTGATACTAATAGTGATCATAATAATAATTATAATAATATGTAAATAGTTATTTATATCAAAAAGTTTTCTCTCAATGTAGATTGTTAAGTTTCGGAGTCGCACAAAAAAAAGATATTTCTCTCTTCTTGCGTCAGACAAATTCAGTTCCGAAAAAGAATTGAAGTACATAAGTGAAGGACTCACCATCTGCCAGATATCACCGACCAGCAACATCTTGATTCACCCGTTGCGTTGAATCATCGATGCTCCTCAATGCAAATGCTCCACTCGATCACATTACATTCGCACAATAAACCGGCACAATAAAGCGATTGTCTACAGATTTATCCGGCACTCCCGATCGATTCGACGAAACATGATCGACGTCGATCATAGATAATGCAACACGATCGCGATCACTCGCAGATCCTCTCGACTTTTGTCACGCGACGACGCGTCCTCAACGTGAAAAATTCCGAGAAGTGGCGGACCTACAACAATCATGGCGGACCGAATGCCGTTTATTGCAGGGATTACTCGATCGCCTCCTCTTAATCCACCATGACAGCTATCTCCTCAGGCTCTTTTCCTCGATGCGACACTTCACAGATGTTGAATGACACTCGCGATGCAGAATGAGCGAAATGATGCCGATTAGGTGCGCGTTTGAAGACGTAAAACATTCGCGTCGGTTCAATAGAACGCAAAGTAATGTCGATCTCGGACGAATTTCACGAATATCGAGAAATGCGTCATTCACGCGGATAAATCGACGCATCGGAACAATTCCTCGTCGCTAGATTAAACATTCCCGATAGTACCTCGTATGCGAAATTCATCCGGGCTGGATAAACAAACACGAAAGAGCGGAACGATCACAATTCATCTTCGTACCGGTGAGGTGACGGCGATGACACGCGGTGTGAAGTGAGCAGTGAATACGAAATTCGGTTACTTGATCGCGAGCAACTTCGCGCGTCTGTTCGAAGTCTCTAGCGCGTCAATTCGAATTCTTAAGATTCTCCGCATACAAGACATTCGTAACGCATTATCGGTCTATAATGGGAGAATATTGTATAGTAAGCTGTAAGTTGGACAAAAGTGACTAAGGGCTGCCGCACACAAAATTCCATAAGACATAACTCTGTAGACTGTCCTTTATAGGCTGTAGACTGAATTGTAAATTGTGTGAAAAAAAGCCTGTACATAATAGTCTTATAACGCATAAAGGAAATTATAATATAATGTTGTATATATTATATAATAAATATAAAAATATTACCATTACTTATAAAATAATGTGTGAAAACTTAAGATTTTAAGATATCTTTTAATTAATTTTTTATTTAATCCTTCAATTATATTTTTTTAATTAGGAAGAAAACTGTGAATGTTAAGGTGTCTCCTTTTATGATTGTTACACAAAAGAATTCAATTTTGTTGAACAGTTATTTTTAGTACTCAACAATTCCATTTGCTTAGTACAGATTTTCGAGAGATTCGTAAATTTTCAATAAATAATATCCCGCTTGCTTTAGCTGTTTACAAAAAAATCATCGAATATTACTTTTAAAAGCAAAATGGAGAAATGACAATCTTCTATACATTTTCTCTAATTTAACAGTTATATTTACTTTATTATTCTCTAATGTAAAATATTCCAAAAAAACTGTGTAATTCAGCGCAATATCACAACGAGGAAATTGCGATAGTAAATAATAATTCAATGCTTCGTCAAATATGAGCTTTTCATATCAAGGGAATTAAATTGACCCATTATACAAATTCGAATTTGCGTATTGTATTGTATAAACACTATTACCGTAATCTGGAAATGGCCTTACAATATTTAGCATTATTATATTTTTTTCCGATTATCATATGACATATCAATTTTTTCACTGTTGCATTGTATGTATAAAAGTCATTTATTTTGATGAAAGGAATCAAAGCTATAACACAAAAAACTTAAGCAGTAAGACATAAGCAATAAGCAAATTAATTAATACAAAATTAAAAATAATTTTGGATTTACTGCTGCTTACATATTAATTATTATCTTACAGTCTCTACTGTGATTGATGATTTGCTTATTGCTTGTCTTACATTTTTTTTTGTACCATAGCTGTAAAATCACACAACATAAAAGAATCACGACATCTGCCTTTAAACTGAATACCGTATTAAATGTCGTTAATTTTGTCGTTTGATAAATCCAATAAATTCTCTAAGAAATCGATTGTGCATAATTTATTGTTAGAGCATCAAACATATATATATTAGGTATTTTGTTTATTAAATCATCAATATGTTATTAGAATACGATTTAGTAATTTAACAATTTATCAGTACGTGTATTTTAAACTTTTTTTAAATTTCCAAATAGTAATAAATATCAAATATTTCAACAAACTTCAAATAAAGCGATAGATTATTCAATTTGATCATATTCGACATATACATATCTGTTTAATAATTAAAGATTAATGACAAAAACCTGTCCAATTTTAGCCCTGCGATATATGGTCGATGGGGATAACATTATACGCGCTCGTGATCGGAGATCTTCCTTGGCGCGCTTCCGATAGTACAGCCATTCAAGAGGTCGTTCGTTCGAAACCGCTCATATTCCCTGATAATCGCTTATCTTCGGAATTGCGATATTTAATTGAAGGAATGCTGGATAAATCGCCGGAAACCAGACTCACACTCCCGAAGGTAAAGCAGCATCCATGGCTGACAAATAACGCAACCGAACCACTGCCGGCCGAGGTCGACAACTGCCGCTTACGAGTCACCGTCACCGAGGAGGAAGTCATAAGACTCGGCACTCTGCTTCTCGTAAAAAATATGCTGAAACAGCATAGCTTTCAGGTAAGCTGAGAGATATATATTTAACTTTATAAATACGATATTAAAATTGCATCACAAAAAAATAAAAAATGAAGATGTAGAATTCAAAATTCGACATTTAAGTAAACAACCATGAACTAAAATACTGAATATTTATTCTGTATTTGTTAAAAAAATACGAAATATGTTTTTCTTTTTTTCTCGATGAATGTAAATACACAAGTAACACAATTACATTCAAAATACATTTAATAAATGTTAAAAATCGTGTAATAAAACGTATAAAGTAAAAAATAAACGTTTAAAATTGATACGTTTTTCAAATTATTTAATAAACGTTATAAAAACATTTATGAGATGTTTATTGTAACCTCTATTAAATTTTTTTTTTATTAGTTTAAAATTTTTATATGAAACATTTCGACAGTTTAATAAATACATATTTAATAACATTTATTGAATATTTTTCTACATAAAAGAAACATTTCGACTAAACGTTTTTTAAACGTAAATTGTTTATTTGGGCACTAATACATTAGCAATATCTTCTACGATTATCATTAATATCTATTATTTCACGCATTCAGATATAGGGAGCGATTTGTGTATGCTGTGTATGGAATGCCAATTATGATCAAACAACAGCTGTTTGCGTTCTCTATTATGGTACGATTTGCGTTCATCCAAAAGCGAAAGCGGAGATACGTGCGTCATAATAGAAGAATGGAGTAAACGTACAATCGTACGTTTTCGTGAAATATCGCAACAACATATTCTGACATGTTTGACTTTGACATAACGATGTGTATTCGCGTAAATATTATACACGACGGGTGCATGTCGATAATGTTGTACAGTTGTATCATAGATTTAATTTTACAAAACGCGAAAAACTAACGGTGACATTTCGCGCAACTGTTTCACTCGTACTCTCTAATAATAAATGATTACCGAAAGCGATCAATTGACAAATGTCAAAGGTCAATCGTTCCAACATATTATCAGATTACACCGGTTTTTTTAATCTATATAATTTATCTAAACAACAATAATGCTTTTATAGTGCTGATGTAGATATTTTATTGAGCATCATCGTGAAATGTTAAAGATTTCGTAACAAGGAACTTCTTTAAAATACAACCTACTTTAAATCTCTTGAAAATTGAGCCAGTCTTCGAAAAAGAATGATAATATTATCACCCTTATGAAAAAGAGTAGCAGAGTTTCATTCTTTTGGAATGAGATTCTCTCTACGAAATCTTACTCCAAAAAAAGAAGTGAAATTTCATTCCTTTGGAGTGAATCTCACTTCAAACGAGTAAAATCTTACTCCAAAAGAATGGAAATGTTTCACTCTTTCAAAGATTGGCTCTATTTTCAATCTTTTAGAATGAAATTTCACTCTAACAATAAGAGACTCAGAGAGTACGAAGTCGACATATAATTATTCACTGTACTTTTAATCCGTTTTTTAAATTTCTTACATCGCAAGAATCGAATAAAACTACGGAAGAAAGTAACAATAAAAATAGTCAACTTTAAGTTTTGTATAAGCTTTTCTTGAGAATGTAGATAAAAAAACAGACAATCATAATTTTAGTTTAAAATGATTTGAATGATTTCAAGCGTGTGAAATCGTATTCTTACACTCAAACCAACGTCGACTTTTCACGAACTGCTTTCCCCTTTTTCTACCATTCATACGCATTGAGACTTGCACAGGCGACCGACTATTTGAAACAACGTTACATTTTTATCGCTAATGCAGACAGCCAGCTTGCGAACTTTACGAAACAAAACTCGACATCTTGTCTCTCGGGATTACTAGGGTATAAAAGAAATAAGAGCGCGAACTTATTTCTACTTCCCAGAATCCATTTCTGCCTAAGCGGCTCGGACGGACAGCGGACAACGACGCCGGCACAGAATCGCCGGCGACAGGACCAAAAGTCGGCATATCATCCTCGCCGCACAGTGATACGATGAGAGATGCGAAAGCAGAACGTTTTCACGAAACCGGGAGAAGCAATTCCGCGCCCGATTCCTACGATTGGCACACAAGCGGCAGGTAAATACGCGCGCTATTCAGGAAGAGAAAAAGGGAGTCCTACATATATTTTTTAAATACCATTTCAAATTCTCTTGCACCCGTTATGTACAATAGAATTCTATTTAATGGAATTGTTTATTCGTTGAAACAAGCATTTGCAGAAATATTCGATAGAGGATTTTTCTCGAACGATCTGTTTAAAATTTTTTTATAAATATACGAATGTTTTCTGTATCCACGCAAGATTCGAATTTATAAAATGCATCAATACTTTATTTATATTAAAAACAAGCGATAATGAGAAATTTATTTTTGTACATCGAAAGAAATCGCGTGTTGCTATAACTCATTGTTTATTATATCATTTGTGTATTATAAATTAACCGATAGTGAAAAGCATCATTATACAGTGAATGCAAAAATATTTGTATAGGAGAAATATTTATAGAAAAAGCTTTATTTGTAGAAAATAAACAAGATTATTAACGAACAATTTATTAACAATGATTTTGTTCTAATATAAATGAAAGAACTTCACGAAATAACCGTGTTCATGATTTTAGAAGCTGAATTTCTCGACTATATCGAATGCTTTTTATGTGTCCAAGTAATATAATTTTTCATTTTTGTTTATTTGTAAAATATAAATTATATTTTAATTATTTCATTACATATGATTAAACAAAATAATTTTAAGAAATATACGATCAATTTTTATTAATAAATTGTTAATTGTGTTTACTTTTCAAAGAATTAGTTTCTTTAAGGATTTTCCCCGGATGTGAATAATTTTTGCATTCACTGTACACCGCAATATTATTCTCTTTTGTTTTTAATAAACTTCCTCCTTAATTAATTTTTCTTTTATTCGCATATTGACAGACAATTATCGTTGGAAAATCCCTTATCACCTGTGACGGAAACCGAGAGGAGATAGTGCCACTGTCGATAGAAGTAACATCCCGATTGAAAAAACAGATCAACATCAAATGGAAGATAAATTAGGATTGATCATTGATTGAGTATATCCAGTGAGCAACCGCGATATCAAAAGGCGAAATCGTCGAACGAACCAACGAAAATTTAATCTTCCAGAGAACTGTCGTTATCGATTTCACTCTGATCGCTTGTATCATCAAACCCACGGGGCATTGCCTTCAGTTTTGCAGGTAAGAGCTCCGTGAGTTATTTATGAATACACAAAAATTCCAAACCGGCGAGGCTAACGATAAAGCGGATCGAGGATTTGCTAGAAATGTTTCTGCTAGATGTTTTTATATGAGTAAAAATGTAACGTCGCATAAGCGTTCCGTATTACGGTATATTTAGTGATCGTTATTGCTTGACCATGTAGAATAGGAAGTATGTTATTTACAACTGATTATTGTGTGCATAAACAGCTCATCGTACAATCCTCAAAAGAATATGGAAGCATTATTATTACATTTACTTCGCTATTGACTGCCAATATTCTCTATTTAAATAAAATGTCCGGCAAATTTGACGACTACAACATGGTAACATTTATAATCGACCAAATATTATTTCGTTCTACTTTTTATTCAGTAATTTTTAAACAATTTGTATGAATAATGAAAAACTGACAAAAAGATATACGTATCACTAGGTCATTTTATTAAGATTGATAACGCGATCAAATATTTATAAACGTTATAGCCACATGTGGCTTATAAAATTGAATAAGGTAACAAAATGTAGATAATACATTTGCAGAGAGTGATCCGAAATTGAGACATGCCTCGCCGGAGGTTTTAATTCCATTGACGTTATAAGGAATTCGTGTCCGACGCGCACGTTTGTAAATAATTTCAAAATTTAAAGTTATATATACCTATCATCAATCCAGTGCTAGAGAGAACCATCGAAAAAAAATATTTTATATTTTTTTTACGTTATAATATAAAAGTGTAAAAGTCTAGCACGAGTGACATGCGAATTGAAAACTTGTTCTCTTTTTTTTTATAAAACTCGTTTTTGCTCTACTAGTTGCCATGCTCAATATCGATAAAATTCAAGGTGAACATTCATCTTACAAATACTCATTTAGCTTTAAAAAATTCTATTATAATTTAAATAAAATGACAAAAAATAGAATATTTTATGTTTATTGTCAATTTGAATATTTTCTATTAGATTCTATCTACAAATTGAATGTCATGATAAATTGCAAACATATTTTATAAACACGAAAAATATAGAACAAGAATTTAAGAAAGAAGTTCTTTGAGTCAGTAAAGAGCTTGCGTTAGTAGAGAGAGAGAGAGAAAATATTTAATAATGATTTGAACAAAACAGAATAAAAACGAACTATGCTTAAAGTCAAAAAATTCATAAACGTAATTTTTTAAATACGTAAGTACATGATAAAAAAAAAATATTTCTATAATATTTTTCTGATTTTCAACCAATCATATATGATTCTCTTTTGAACTAGATTGATAGATAATAGATAAGATTGATCGTCCCAAGTAAGACCTCTTGGACACGAGCGATTTTTTGGCTTTGCAAACAATTTACATACACATATGAATAACAAAAGAATATCTTGTAAAATAGTTAACTTTATATATAATGTTATATTGTTATTATTATTTCATATATTTTAAAATCTTGTGTACAAGGTTCTTTCTTCTTTCTTCTTCTTAATTTACATGTCATACAATCTACTTGTATTTGATTGTTCGACAATCATTTTATACAGAATGAGAATAGTTTCTCTAAAATCAATATTCTTTCACTACTTTTGTGCAAATCGCACATTAACATACATGTTTTATATACCTCGTGATATATACATTATGAAAAGGAAATTCATTGCGTTTTAAAATCATCGCGATAAAATAATTTCTCCTGTTCGCAATAATAATAACATATGTATTCGCATATGCAAAACATTTTATCGAATCGACAAATTTTCTGCTGCAAAATAATCATGTGGTAAAAAATCGTTCATGTGCCTGAAGTCTTATCGTTATAAGTGTCTTTGCAGTCCACTTATTTCCATTTACAAGGCGCGTAGGTTGCATAGATACATAATGTAAAGATGTGCGTATATTATATTCATATTTTGTATGTATGATATTCGTATTTTTTAAAAAGTAGGCATGTAAACGAAAGCCCGCAGTACAACGATGTCGTTCTTCAGTTCGTGCCATTAAATATACGGATGAGCTTTTGTTTAATATTAAACTTTATATTACGTAATTTATATACATCATTTATGATATTGATTTTACATATTTTTACGATTATATAATTTGCATAATTATATATTTATACATATAAAATTAAATAATATATATATAAATTATATAATAATATGATAAACAACGTTGGTCCTGTTCGTTTATGTATATGGTTTAATACTTTAAGTTATAATATTTACACAAATTTAACCTTGAATTTTGCTTATTAGAATAGTAAAATTATTAAATTGTAATTTATAATTTTATAATTCAGTTTTAAATGGATTTTGTTTTAACGTCTAATAATAGTACTTTAATTATTCAAAAGATATTTTTTATATGAACGAATATTTTTTATTAAAAATGAGATATCTTTTAATTATTTTTTTAATTTTTAGACTTTATTGGCGTTAAATTACAAATTATTTGTAATTATAAATGATTTGATTAAATTCAATATGTTGTATTCGAAGTTTATGACTCACGGTGCTGACCAAGAAAAGGCAACCAAAGAGAGATTTGTGATTTTGTCGGACCTTATTGAGACATGGGGGACCATAAACGTATGAATTTAAGAGATAGCTTTCAGAGCTCACACAGCAGCGGACAGTTTCAGACATATCGTGTCCCGAGCCTCACGCACATCGCAATCTATTTCAGTGTATACAATTGCCATATGGAGACTGTGACGGACTTATTAGTAGATAAGAATAATTATTGTCACATATTATCGAGCGTACGCGTTTTCACAACTTTTATTTGGCCATGGAAATTCCAAGTCTATGCAAATCGATAGCATCTTCTATTGCACGGACCAGGAATAACGAGCTTTATGAAAGTGGTGAATTAATCGCCATAAAGGAAAATAATATACATACACTTCCTAATGTTTTTACGTTTCCTAAATATATTCAGCGCCTCATGAAATTAAATCTGTATTGCATCATGTGATTAATTCTAAATACGCTTGTCTAATTGAAAACGTAGGCAGTTGCATTTGGAATTAAAGGAGAGGATGCTAATATGGATCTAGGAATCCTTCCAGGAATATCGGATGAATTGTCTACTGATAGTAATTCCGCTCATATTATACGCCATGTCTAATATTAGATAAATGTAATAATGTTAATTATTCTGACAATAGCTCTACTATATATTCATTCTTTATATTATTTTATTTTACAACTATTTTTTAATAAAAGTTACAAAATTAAAAGATTAATTAATTGTATGAAGTTTGATGCAAATTGCTGTCCGTAGACATTTCTCCGAATTGTTACGGGTATACAATTATTGTTATTTAAACGGTTATATATATATGTGTGCGTGTGTGTGTGTGTACACACACACACACACACACACACACACACACATTCGTATGTGTATTTTACACAATGCGATATACTCTTTATCACAGATTGCACAGAATATTTTGTACCCGATATTAGACACGCACTATGTTTCTAAATCTCTCTGTAATTAAATATAGCGTGTACACACTTTTGCAGATTAAGTACACTTTAAACTAGATAGATAACTATATCAAACGATTTAGATGTGACGAATCTCCACACTCGATATGGCGACCAAAAGTTCTTGTGATGCTCAATCGAGGCATTAATAGTTAATTAGGAAATTTGTTTTTACTCGACAATCAATATATTATGCGTACATGTATATATTATTTCGATACATTTATTCTCACTCTATAATTACAAAATCCTGTTAAAATTTGTTGTCAATTTTCGAAAATCCACGACTCTAGATTCTATGTCTATAGGAACTTAAGCTGCAATTTTCATCTTTTTAACACTTTTCTTATTAGATGTTACACGCTTCGATTATCTCTCTAACTAATGTTAATTCTGAAATTTTACAAAATTTAACTTGCTAAATGACAAGTTGCGATTTACAATTCATGTATCGCAATAATTTATCGTGCAATCCACATTGAAACATCGATTTTTTTCTCGATTGATGATATAAATAATACAATTAATTTCTATATGTACATTTACGAAATATAATAAACTATCTTCAATATTTCAAGAAGGATTGCACGATGCCGCGATTATCGCGCATAAAATTCCTGAATTAATAAACAATTTAAGGTATGCAAACAAGAAGCAGTTCTGCACCTTAAAAAGATTGTATTGTCTTACTATTTGCTATATCTATGATAACTTTTCACCGAGTTTTCGCTTCTAGTTACTTGCGATTGATTGGGAAATTTATCGTGAAAAAGATCGAAATTATTCTTATGCACATTTGTAGTAACTAAGTACTGTAATTGCTCGTCTGTGTAATAAATCCTTTTTATCTTTCCATTAACGTCATTTGCCTCGTAAAACTCGACTCAACTATTAAATCTTTCGTGATTTATTCCCGAGTGCTACTGATCTCTCTCGTGCATCAGCCCCTTTCATTAAGCTAACGTAGACGCGTAAAAATTTTAACGATCCACTTTAATTCTGCTACTATTTTTCCTCCTCTCTTTTTTGCTTTAATTGAAACCATCATCTTCGATAATCTCCCTTACTTTTTATATATTACCGAATCGATACGTAATGATCGAACGAGCTCGTATAAGCAAAGACATTACTTAGTCGTGTCTCACACAATCGCGTGATTCATATTTTACATTTTAATGCTCGCCAGCCACAGCGAAATCCAACCACAAAGATTTTATTGTCGGCAAACTGGTGAGTAAACAAATTTCGTAGAAATTTGAAAGACTTTTTTTAGAAAGACAAATAACTTTTCCTTCCTTTATATCTTACATCTGAGTGTTCAAATATAAATATAAAGAAAATACAAGATCAGCTTTTTTATCAAGACAGATATAATTAGTCCGCAATTTTGTACAAAGGAATTCAAATAATTTGAACGTGATTGTAACATAACCGCCAATGATAAGCGTAAAACTTGCCCTTTAGGCAAGTTTTCTTACTGTAAATTTATACTACATAAATATATACAATACACATATATTTTACTCTCATGTATATTCTATTATCCACAAATGTGCCCGTTTTGTTAAATAAATCACGCATTCTGATATCAGAGGCAAAAGCAAAAACATTTTTCGAAATTTTATTTCCTCCCTATGTGTACCGCGCTTGGCGCGATATATATATATTTTACGAAAAGACGTGATATATGCGATTTTATCCGTTAAAAAAGCTATCGGATATATGTAGTCATTTCATCGTTTGCGTTCGATGCACATGGATTAATACGAGATGCAATTCATCAATTTTCGCACTATACGAATTTCAATATGATGAAGCGATGACGTGCTTGTGGCAATACCTTGACCTGCCATAAAAATCGGGGAGCTATATCGTAAATCGCTCGGACAAGCCAAGCCGATTTGGCCGCGAAGCAACCATGCGTGCCGCGACTATCAATTCCATTGGGCAACTCTATGCCGATGGCTCGCAGAGGCGCAGGCGAAAGACAATGGACACACAAGCCACGAAAGCCAATCAATCGTGATGCACGTTTACGCTCTTGCACTGTAAGTATAAAAAGGTTTTGAAATCGAAGGGGGCCTTCAGTCGATCGTCCGGACTGTGCAAGGAAGTCATATCAAAAAATATTTTTTTAAATATGAAGCTCTTGAGATACTGTCTTTTTTGCGTAAGTACTTTAATTTAAAAAATTGATTAATTCCAATTTATTATACATTCATTGAAAATGATAAAATTTTTCTTAATTTTTAAATTTTTTGCGGATGCTAATAGAAATCTCTCTTAATTTTAAATAAAATATTAAATTCTCTTTAATAAATAAATATATTTAATAAAATATTCAATCCTAATTTTCACTATTAAATATAAAAATATTACATTCTTCCTGCTAGACTTTCTGATAAAAATTTTAGAAAGATTTATGAAATAGCTTCCGAAAATGATTATCAGAATATTATCATCTTTGTTAAATGATGTTAATTCTACTGCAATTTTTATAATTTATTATAAATTTAAATTGTACCATCTTTTCATTTTTAATCAATTTTATCTATAATATAAGTCATTATTTTCATAAGATTGTGAATTTATGGTTTTCTATTATACATCCGCTAAAAATTTACATTAACTAAGTTTTCAAAGAACCTTTTTACGATCAATTTTAATAAAATATTAAATTTTTGCTGATCACTAAATCAAATTTTATAGAGAATTTATGCTTGACGTGAAAGGCAAGTTGAACCTTTTGGTCACTTTCTGTTACGGAATATTTTATCAAATGAACTTCCAAACAGCACCGGAAAGAATATCATATACGCGAAAAACTTAATAATTATTTCCGTCTCATAATGACAGATTTTTTTGCAGTAAATAGTATTTATTCTTAATCAGAGCATAGAAATCGCCAGTTGCAATCGCGATTGCTAACTTATAATTTTCATGAAAATGAAATCGCACTGATAGATTCAGTGAGTGAACATATTGCAATGCATGATTATGTATTGTATCACCTGTCCGCAGTATATTACTACATCCGATAAAAATTATTTTATAAAGAAAATTTACCCGATTGTTAAACAATATTTCTGAACCTGACTATGTTAATTTTTTAAAGAAACCTAGTAATCTCTAATAAATAAATTTATTCTGATTAAATTACTCTGATTAAAATAAAGACAGAAAGATTTTATAATTTTTGTATTAATTATATTTAAATATATTTAAATGTTAAAAAAATACTTGTGTCAAGATATATGAAATCATAAATTCCCGTATCTTTTACTGTATCTCGCAGCTCTTCGCCATGAGAGTGCAATCAAAGCCACAAATAACGAAGCTATTTCCAGTGGAAGGATTGACGGCATATCACAAACAATTTAATGATACCACGAAATCGTTAGATAAATTTTGGGAAAAACTACGCACAACATATAATTTTGTTTTCCATCAACCCGGTAACACCAGCAACATAGAAAAAATCCTAGCAAAGAACGCATCAAATCCTAATTTGCAAACTTTGAGATTAATATGGACTGACACGGTAAAAGCAGATAATTATACAAATCTCAAGTATCCCAACAATACCTTCCTGGATCAGATAAAGTCACTGTCGATACCAAAAAGTCGTGACAGCAAGGCGACTTCGAGTAATCTCAAGAAAGATTCATCTGTCGAAATAAAAACAAACGAAAATAATGTGAGCTCTACGAATTTCAATAAAACAAGTTCTAATGAAGCTAAAATACTACCTGACGATGATTGGTTCAATGACATTCAACCTTTGGAACAATTGGAACTGCAAGACGAAGAGCTGGATAAGAAAAATGAGGTGGAAAGCGTGACGCCAGGAACGACCCTTCCGACGACAGTGGGTCGTCATCTGCTTGAGTGGCTTGGAACTCTTTTCGGATTTACTTATAGCATTTACAATAAATTATCGAGCGCTGCTTGTGGAAACGAAAAGCTAACACAATGATAAAATAAACCGACAAAAAGTAAAATAAAATACGATAATTAGATCAGAAACCATATTACGTTAATCCATTTATAAATTTGCGCATCAAATCAAATAAAATAATTTAATTCGTGATAAGTTAATTTATTCGACAAACAATATACCAACTTTATAATCGCATATGTCTTACGAAATGAATTGTTATCCATCTGATAATTATTATATCGTAGATCTCTTGACTTTTCTAATTAAATTTGCGATTCTTGAATAGTTTTCTATCGATTATTAGATACATAAAATTGATGATTAATTTTTCGTTCAAACAATTATCAATTTATATGTACTGAGGACAACCTAAAAAAAGGACCGAAACGTATATTTATATTTGTTTAAATAATATATGTTTGTCATATAAATAATCTGTGTTGGCTCGTAATGGCATGTCTTTTGTACATATTAAGTTCAAGTGTATGCAATTTTAATTTATTCAAAATTATAAAAATTGCATTTAAATACAGAAAAATGTTACATTTAATATTAAAGGCATGCCAAGAGTATGAATAAATACCAAATGAGAATTTAATATCAATTTAATATTAAACGTAGTACGTTTAGTATCATATATAACATAAAGGAAAAAAGAAAGAGGAGCATAAAGAGAGTGAAGACAGCACAAATATCGAATAATTTTATACCTTTGTACTGCTATCATATTGCGCTGCTATATTCCGCTGTAAAAAAAATATAAAATAAATAAAATTTACGTTATAAAATAAATAAAATTACACGAGATTAAATAATGATGCTTTTAACACTGTGCTAATTCCCGTATTATCCGAGTAAAGTAAAGGATGTTTATATTATACGAATATGAAATACTACACCATTCTGTTAGAGTCCGAGTACAAAGAGTTCGTTCTCTAGACAATATAAAGTTCAACGTATTAATATTTCCGCGTTAGTGTTACAGACGGTCATTTCGTTGTATGACGTTGCGTAAGACTACATAACATAATGCTATTTTCTATAGCGTTCGACCGCAGATTGCACACACCTGATGAAGTATGAAATGACTCATGAGAAATATAAGAACTAACTTGCTATCTTTTACATTACATACATTTTATTCAAAAATATTTCAATCTAAAAAATACATGTTACTTTTTTAGCTATCTTTTTTTCGTTACACTATACAATAACAATTCTCTTACGGGATAAATGCATAAAGTCTTGTAAACGCACATCCACTGTTCAAAACAGTGCTTAAACATGAGTCTTATAAATGCACATTCACTGTTTAAAAAGTTCTATTATCTTATCTCTTTAATCTCTCTCAATGAGAAAAATTGAGAAATATCATCACGAAAACCATCTTGAAAAAGATGTCTCATCGCTTCTTCTTTATGCAAAGATCCTTATTCTCTCAATAATTATACTATCAAGATGACTTAAAGAATTAAAAAAAAAAGACCCCAGCGCGAATGACCCAGAATACTGCTATTTGACATACGCGTATATGTATGAAGTCTTTGGTTGTATTATGTGATATCAGAGTACGGTATGTGTTTTTAGTACCGTCTTCTAATTCATATACTAACGCATATAGTTGCATGTTGCAAATATATAAGAAAACATTAGATAACTATAATTATAATCGTCGTGAATATACAGTGCATGAAAGTTTTTCAACAATTTCTCGCTCTAATATACATACAAATTAAAATTGAAGTGCCGAATAGACGGGTATCTTAAAAATAATGCCACATATAAAATGCTGATATACAAAATTATCAAATTAATTTTCGTCATTTAATAATTTTTTTAAGTAATCCCAAACTCATATTTTTTAAAATTTTATTTGAGTAAATACTAATAAGGTAAAACATGACATAAAAAAATAGCGTTTCTCGAAATTATCCATGTAAATAACAAATTCTACAAAAGAAATTACTCATTGGAAATTAATATAAAATTTTATCAAACAGACAAACATTTGTTATACTTCATCAACCAGCGACATCTTTTTGAGGTCATAAAAATCAATCTTCAAGAATATGAAATGGCAGAATGGAATGATGAATGATTTACTTAGGAAAAAAAATAATGACAGATCCAGATGAAAAATTATCTTGAAAAATTATTATATATTAACAAATCAATAGAAGTTATTCGAAAAAAATGTCGTTTAACACATTTTAGCACATTTTGTCATCTATAAGAATATCAATTTTAAATCACAAAAACTGTAATATTCGTTTCGAACATATTTCTGAATTATATCAACATGAACCTATAAATATTATTCAAGACATCTATTAGGGTGAAATATTGATATTTCTCGGATATTTTTGGTCAAATTATTTTGAACAAGTGCACCTCGACATTTATCGTAATATTTTGCCATAATTGCATGTGTTCTACTTGGCAATGTACAACTTTTTAATAAAATTTTTGACATCGTTTATATTTTTATTTCCGTTTATCATTAACAGTGCCTCAATGTCTGCAACAAATTTTAAATTTTTGCTTAAACCTTCCATACCTCCGAGTACTGATTTCAAATTTAGTATTAAAATTTAAATTCAAAATAACGGATTCAAGATTCAGACGGTCATGAAAATCTGAAATATCGATACATTTAAAATATGAGTTTGGATTTTTATTTTAAATACATATCATAGTATACACGTACAAATACACGCACGACTGTTCAATCTAAAATATATTTAGAACGATAAAAATTCTTCGAATGTGTTTATTATGATAAATATTATAAACTATTATAATATTTATCATAATAAAATTATAATCATATTTAAATAAGACTTTATAATTAGCATCAATTCTATGATCTTTCGACATAACGGTTCTTCATTATCCAAAAAATTTGATTTTTTTATAAAGTTTAGATAACTATATTTTATTGAAAACACTACATTTCAATGTGTGCGATTTTTTTACATGTAGCCTAAATTTTCTTCTTTAAAACAAATCAAGGTAAAAGTCGATAGGATTACTTGTTTAAAAATTATAATTTTTTTCGTCGGAGCATGTCTCGGAGGTATGAAAGAGTTAATATATTCAATATATTATATAGTTCAATTGTCAGAAATTGACTAAATTCGTAATATTGTGCCATTATCATCTCATCACATATTTGGCTTATTTGTTTTCCGAATTAATACAATAAAAATATTGTATATACAACAAAAATAGTACGTATGATAAAGAGCGAGAAACTTCTAAATATCTGAACCACAGAATAATTATTCGATAGCAATTTTCTCTCAAGAGACACCCTTTTTACTCACAAATCGGCAAATTTATTCTGCTTCAATATTTTAACAATATTTTTCAAAAGTATTCTTAAATTTCATTATTTACGCAATTAGTTTAGTAACACCGTTACTACATTTTAATTATCGCGAAACAGTCCAAATGTCCAAAATAAGTCTTTGCTCAACGCAAGTAGGCATTAAAATTAAACATAAGACACGGACTAGAATTCTTGACAATAATTAATATTTCCTATAGCTAACTTAAGTAAGGCAGACAAACGTGCAATTACATAAATTGGCCTTCCCTTACGTATTAATTCTTCTTATCGATTTTTTATTTACGTTTTAAAAGGTTCATTTTATATAGGACGCAAGAAAAATCTTGGAATAAATTTTAAAATACATCCTATGTCTCTAAAATTCCAAGAGTTAAGGCGATTAGAGTAATATAGTTAATATCTATTATATTAATTAGTAATATTCATTCCTTCGAAATTTAATTTAAGAAAAAAACTACAATATGCGCTCGCTCACATGTTGAGTTATGATAAGTGAGTTTAAAAAAGAAATTTTTATTTGATACAAAATTTTATCGAAAAAAGCTTCTCGTATCTTTAAATCAATATTTTTCTGAAACTGTAAAAGACAATTTTTGAAAAATAAAAATGATATGAAATGAAGAAAATGAAGAAAAATGATGAAAAGATGGAAATGAAGAAAAATGATGAAAACAATGGAAAGACAAAGATGATAAATTTAGGTAATCACAGCTTATCTTATAGCTTAGAACATAATTATTTCAACGTTTTAACGCATTAAAGATGTGAGATTGATGTATAATACACAAAACTCCTCTATTCTAAGTTTTCCTCTACTCTAAGTTAGCTATCTCCTCTAAACTGAATTTCTCCTCTTGTATTGCTTCATTATGCTTGTATTATATGCATCAATCAGCATCAAGCAAAAAACAGATTGTGCAATATCTTTTAAAAATGAGGACTGACTGTAAGAAGAAATTGTAGAATAGAGAAAATATGCTCGGTCCCGATGATTTTAGAATAGAGGAGCTGGACTATATGATATTTTTATTTCATGATTCGCATTTTTTACTATGTTCATTTTTAATTCAATGTCAAAACATTTCTCGTCGTATTAAAATTAAACTAAATCTGAAATAGTTGTTTCAATGACAAAATATGAATTCAAAAAAAATGAAATTGAAATTACCTACGGTTCCAGCATCATCAATCATATATTGCTTTGGAACATACATGGATTTTACCTACAACTAAGATGGCGTTAAATACCTTGCATTTTCGTTCATATTACTGCTCTGAGCCTGTTCAGACAGATTTACATCTTTCATCACTTGTTCTTTAAGAGTAGCGAACGTGTACAATAAATTCGGATTTTTTTGAATACTCTGAAGGTGCTGTAAAAGAGCAGTTTCCTGCTTTATTAAGGAACCGTCCTTTAAAATATAACTCACCTCCTGCTTAGGCGTTGCCGCGATATCGGTACTGTTATCGAATACTCTTGTATCTTTTTGATCGGTATAATAATCCTCCTTTTTATTCTTACGAATGCCAAAATGCGTTTGAACGTGCTTATTTAAATGGTCCTTGCGCGAAAATGCTTTCTGGCACATGGAGCATGGAAAATCCTTAGTGCCGGAATGGATGACGGTATGTCTTGTTAAGTGTTCATTTCTCTTAAACGCCTTCTGGCATACATCACATTTAAAAGGTCGCTCGTTCGAATGACCTCGCATGTGCTGATCAAGATGCTCCTTTCTTTTCAACATGGCACCACATTCTTTGCATTGGTATTTTCGTTCCTGAAATAAACCAAAACTTTTTATTTAATACATATTTTCTTAGCTATCTTGTCTCCAAAGATAATAAAATATATGTACCTGAAGATGAGCCTGTATATGTTGTGCGATGTCCGCCTTGTCTGGAAACCCTAAATTGCACTCCGGGCAACAGTAAAGCGTAGTTCCGTCGTAGTTAACGCTGATTTTAATCTCGCTAATTTTCGCTCGAAATTTCGTTTTTTTCTCGATTTTTGGCAAATCGGTTTGTACTTGTTGCTCGACTTTTAAGACATTTCGCAAATTGTTTTCAATTTCTTGTTCATTTTGCAGATTCAGATCACTCGGATTAACAGTCATTGTCATTTGATCCGAGTTTGCGAAATTATTGCCATTTTGTAGCCAAATATTTCTGATATTTGGTATATTTAAAATATTATTCTGCACGTGCTCTACTTTCTCTTCCTGTGTCTTCTCTTTTTTTGCTTGTTCTGCACATAGTTCAAACGCTTCTCGCAGAGAAAATTCAGATGGTAATTTCTGTAAATATTCAGCCATGGCTGCTGCTGTTTGGTGCTTTAATAAAATTTCAGATTCCTACAACAGAAACAAATAAATACATCTATGAATAATGTAGAGATAATTAAAAAAATTAACAATATTCAAAGAATATCTCACCTTGTCTGAATTTTTCTCCTCTTTAGGCTGGATATCTATCCCTTGCTTTACAGTATCTGCCTGCGATGTGGAAGGTAAGTATCGACTATTAAGATGAAAATTATTCGCTGTACCGAATGTCACGGTATTTTGACTATAACTAGGGACATTAATTAACTGGTTAAGCATTTGCTTCTCGCATAATTGAATCAAAGTATCCTGCCAGCCAGGTAAAGGTGTCGCAAGGTATCTGCTGAGTGTACTTGTCTACGAGAAAGGGAATTCAAAAAAATTTGAATGTCAAACCAAAATTAAAGAAAAAGAGGAAATGCAGTGCAAAAAAAAAAGCAGAAGAAAACTCACCGAAGTCTCTTGCGGTGACGTGACCGCTTGGACAGTGGTTTGCACTTCCTGCGATTGCATGCTACGGTTATCAGCCGCGGCGATGGCGGCAATTGCAACGGCTGCAGCAGTCGGCATTGAATGCAACTCGGAGAGCTGTGGTAACGTTAGAGGACATTTAACGAGATCGCGCGATGCTCCATTCCCGGGTAAATCCATAATACCACGCGTAATAACCTGTGCAAAGAATATGCTCGAAATGTAGCGTTCCTAACCTACAAATGGATAACTTGACCGCGTGGAGCGCAAGATCAGATTACATCAGCTAAATCTCGCGCAGTTGGGCTACTCAACGATATTATCTATGATATCGTCATGCGATACATCAACGCAATACCTTATCTAGTTAAAATTAACTATGTTCAAAGACCACGAAACACATTCGCGGACGGCGTCGTTCCATATGACTCAATAATCAAATGATTAACATGGCGACGCGCGCGCACTCGCCACTGTTGCAAAGCGCCATGAAGTTGCCGCGGATAGTGAGCGAATGAAATTTCTCTTTACCGTAAGTAGCACGAAATAAATTGTCGGCGCTTAAATAAATTTTAATAGTAAACAATTTTATATTGCAATTTCGATAAGACGTAACTTTTTTCAGATGGATTATAATTGATTTCTCAAGTTGAATTCTCGAACGCAAGAAGAATATATCTTTCGAAATTTGGCTAGCCTGGAGCGTCTCTTTTTGTTTACACTAGACTCGTCGACAACTTCACGTTGATGACAATCGTCTTATGCATATTGGTATTAGTTAGTATGTGTTGAAGATGCATTAAAGTTTTCTTGGAACACAAAGTACATTGTTGAAAACAAAAATTGAGACAACATAACAAAATTAGTAAGTTTTTACTGTTGATGAGTTCCGTGCAAAGATTGTGAATAAGTGTTAAATAAAGCAAAAAAAGATAGGTTAAAAAACTGTACCTCACACAACGATTATGTGATATATATGAAAAAAAAAAATTTATAATTAAATTTTCAGTGTTGCGTTATTTATAATGCTCCAATATTATGTTAAACTTATTTTAATTTATTAGCTTGAATTACTAATATCACATATTCTGGATTATTATAATATCATTGTTTATATTTAATGTATTTTTAGTTAATGTATAAATTAATGTGTTGGATTAATGATGATATCTTGTACAATTAAAATGATCCAATTTTGCAATATGATGTTAATGATAATATGCCTTAAATTCTTAACAGAACAGAGACGCTGAATGACAATCTAAAAAAATGATGCAAGAAAAGAATGTTGTTAGTATGTATTGATGAAGATTTTAGAAGGAATGGACGCTGAAGTGAATAAGTTATGTTTGCAACTCTGTAAGTATATGTTGCATATGAGTAGAAATATCAGAATTGTTTTTTTAGCTAAACTTCTTGCAGACTTCTACTCTTACTTTTTTTCTTTTCAAAGAAAAAAAAATGAACTATTTAGCTGAAAAGAACAGACCTGTAAATCTCTTTCTTATTAAATTAATTTAATTTTTATTATCTCTTTACAGATTAATACAGTTGATTTGAGATAAATTGCCGCAATCGCAAGAATCAAAACAATTATTACATAAGAAAGAACATCAATTTATAAAAATTACGCAACGATTAATCTATTGTTTTGTGTCTGGAGTACTTTTACATCAATCCAAAACGTGTAACTGTACTAATCCCCGATATGTTAGCATCTAGAAAAGTTACGTTAACATCTAAGAAACCCCAAGATCAACGCCTAAAAAGTGTGCCTAGAAAGCCAGTAAAGGGTTGTTATTGTTCCGAGGCGATCAAGAAGCATGCAAAATCATCGAGAATTCGGCATAAACCAGCATTGCCCTGCCATTGCCAAAGTAAATTAGAAATCAAACCTGTTGAAAAAATTGGCGACAAAGTGACATCAACTTTGCCGATCAGCTGCGAGACGCTTCGAAGAGTTCAGAAAATCGATTACGCGCCCAGATCTCAATTCCTTCGTAATGTGCAAAGCAAGATCTGTGAATTACACACTGCAGATAAGGGAAACTCTTTGTGTCCGCGATCATCCAGCTACCATCGATTTATGACGAACGCGAGGATGCAGGATACCGTCACTGATGAAAGAACGATATTGTCGAGTAAATGCATTGGGAGGCAAAAATCGCCAACAGCGTCTGCAAATTCATTGACGAACGAACAAAACGGGCCCGACGATATCACCTGCGCTTTGAGTAAAAGAACTCAAGTGTCTCCGCGAAAGTTGTCAAAGTCAACATTACGAAAGACTATTAGATCCAGGAGACATATACCAGAGTCAAGCGAAAGATCCGCGTCAAAATCACCGATGCGAGGTAAACGAACAGCGCGGTTATATAAGCAAGATAGTTCTTGTTGCTGCAGAACTGAACTGGAGAAGAAGACTGCGAAGCTGCGCGGTGATAAGAGTAAATTACTGGAATATTGCGAACGGTGTTTAAGGCACTATGATGATCTTACAGTTGATGATTCCATGGATCAGGAAGTAGAGAACCTGAAAAAGTTCCGAGAACAAAACTATTTTGAAACTCATGGCTCAAGCCACACTTTAACATCATCCAGATCGTCGGGATCGTTGCGACAATATTTGTTGAATGAGCGATTGTTTCCGGAGCTGGTAGGCAAAATTCACAGACAGGATCTAGTAGTGACGATGCCGTCGTGCGTAACAACGCAAAGGAAGCGCGTTCATTACTTTCCCAGATACATAGTGCGACAAGAAAAAAGTACCTGCAATACCAATTACAGACGTAAACGATGCCAAAGCTGTCCTCTCACCGGACACGCCATTGATCTCGGAATTCTAAAAGCTAGCCCGCCGTTAAATAGCTTGGCACTCAAATACCAGAAAAGAACTTTTTAACTGAAGTATATTCTCAAACTTTAATTTTTATTATAGACTTTAGATATCTATATAGAACAACATAGGCTTCTTTTATCTCAAAGATTTAGTAACGAAAATTTCAACATTGATCATCTCAACTTTTATATATCTACCCTTTTATGCTATATGTAAATATATTTTATATAAAAATTATATAAAAATTAAAACGTTATTTAATATTTATTATTTTAAATAACTTCTCCTGACTTATTTCTTATTTATTAGGTGTTGGAATTAATTCGTAGCGTTTTACAAGTGATGGGAAGTACTTTCATTAATGTATTTTTTAATGCTCATGTGAAATAAATAACATTCTTTCATTAAAAAACGCTACGAATTAATTCCAACACCTAATAATATTTTAAATAAATTTTTGGAACTTATTTTATATTTTTTATTTTGAGTAAGCTATATCAGTTTTTTTATCGATTTTGTATTTTAAATAATTTTTTGAAACCTATTTTATATTTTTCATTTTAAATAAATTGTATCAGTTATGTTACCGATCTGTCAAATAAAAGTGATGGTGAGTAGTTAAATAAGACTTAATAAACCTTGCCTTATTAAAAATCATTAAAATATTTTGTGTTTACTATTTGAAACGTTTATTTAAAGTACGTTTCTTACAATACTTTACCGATATTTCTTACGATACTTTACTCTTACGATTTTATATTTTAAATAACTTATTTAAAATAAAAAACTTATTTAAAATAAAAACTTATTTAAAATATAAAATCATAAAAGTCGGTAAAGTAACTGATACGACTTATTCGAAATAAAAAATAGAAAATAGGTTTCAAGAACTTATTTAAAACACTAAATAAGAAATAGATCACAAGAAATTATTTAAAATGAGAAATAGGATCCGAAAATATTTTAAATAAATAAATGTATTTTCGAGTCCTATTTCTTATTTTATATTTTAAAGAGTATAAAAAAATTTTCATTTAGAGATTACAATTTCTAATTCGCATAGCTTTATTATTTTTATTTCTAAATTATAAAAAATATAAATATGCATATATTTAATTGTGATATTTAGATGAGTTATCTGTCTCAATTCAAAGTGAAAAGCACGTCCAATGGAATGAAATTTCAGAGAAAACTTGACAATGGTCTTGACATTATCGAAAATGATTTATGATTATTGAAAATGATGTATGAGTCACTCTGTAGAAGACATACATGTTTTATATGGTAAGACATACAAATTTATGAATTTATGAATTTAATATATGTAGTAAAGAGGAAAGAAATTTTTAATTATTTTTTTATACAAATTAAATTAGTTATGCCATATGTATTAATTAATATTTAACGCACATTAAATATTTTATATTTTTTGTTAACTCCATTTTACACTTGTACTTTTTATTATCTTTCTTGCATTTTATTTTGAAACAAATATACATAACCAAAAGATATATTTTTTAAGCATTAAAATTGCAATTATCAAAATATAAACTTGTAATATGTTAATATTAAATATAATAATGTAAAATAAAATTGTAATTATATTAAAAAGAGTATAAAAGAGAGTATAAAAGATTTCGAGGGTTTTCGTGACCATTCGGGAATTGTTTTATTTCTAAGTCTGAAGTTCGAATAAAAAGAAAGAGAGAAAGAAATCTCGTTTATCATTATTTTTAAATAAAAGAACTTTTTCGTTGCCAATTATCAATATATTACAGTCGATAAATCGAATTTAAAAATACAAAATGATTCATAAAGAGGATTAGTTGGAAAGCAATAATTGATTATTGTATTTTCAAGTTTTCATATTTTTCACAAGATTATTCATTTCATAAGATTATTCTTTTTTTTTTGTAATAAATATCCTAATGAAAAATATAATCTAATTAACGTTTTGTAGTACACTATTACTCGCATATTTAATCCAATTTGAAATTAATTTTTAAATCAATGAGGCATAACTGACAGTGATTTCATAACTATATGAATAAGGATTTTATTCACTTTATTTCAATATATCAATTTTTTCTAGTGTTATTATAATGATTATTTTTTATTTCTACGAAGAAAAATATATAAGAAAATATAGAAATAAAACGATCCCCGAGTGGTCGCGAAACTCTCTTGGTACCCTTCTTTAATCTATACTCTCTCTCTCTCTCTCTCTCTCTCTCTCTCTCTCAAATTTTTTAAATAAATCTCACTCCAAAAGAGTGAAGATTCTGCTACTCTTGAAAAAGCTACTCTTGACAAAATATAATAATAATTATTTATGTTATAAGTTATAATTTATGATTATTTTACTTTTAAAAAAATTTTTTATAGAAGATTTCACTTCCACAAAGAATAGAATCAATGTACGAAATTTTAAAGCATTTAAATCATTTTGTGCTAACTTATTCACTATTTACCGAATATGCATAGGATAGTAAGAATCACAATACGTAAGTAAATGCATAAGCGCGTCAATATCAAACAAACCTTTGTCAAGATTCAAATCCGGCAGAGTAAACGCGTATAAATGTAGTTTCGTTCTATTAATAAAAAAATAAATTAAAATACGATAAATAAATTTTTTATTAAAATTTTTATTTTTAAAATAATTAAAATAAATTAAAATGTATTATTTATCATGTTGAATTTAAATAATAATTAATGTCCGTGAAATGAATTAAAATATGAAATTAATTATTCATATCAAATTTGAATATATTTATATCCGTATTATATTATTTTTTGATTGAAATGAATTAAAATACGAGCTATTCATCATGCTGAAATCAGATGTATTCATGAATTCAAATGAATTCAAAAAAATCAGAAACGCGAATTCGAAAATGTCAAAATAAATTCATTTCTATGCATTTTAATTTATTCTCTCTCATTACTGGGATTTTTTCTCTTATTCAATAATATACAATAATAGTTATGCTTTATCTTGAATATTATTATAATAATAATAAATATATTCTATATATTTAAAAATATTTAAAATCGTAAAATTGAATACATCCCAGTTAAAAATTATGAATAAGAACAATCTCTTTGAATTTACTTCAATTAAAAACAATTTTCAATTTTCAAAGCATTTAAATCATTTTGTGCTAACTTATTCATTATTTACCGAATATTGCATAAGATAATAAGAATCACGAGCATAAGTAAATGCATAAGCGCAACATTTAGTTTTTAATTTATAAGCTATGAATATAGCTTACAATTCAAAATTATGAAAATACACACTTTTGTTTAAATAAAAAAAGTTATAACGGAAATATGTACTTGAATTTATATCCGAGTACAATATTAGATAGAAATATTCCTGTTTCGATCGAAATGAATAAAAATACTGTTCTATTTAGAAAGAATTATAAATATTCATAAACAGAAATGAATTTATGCTCTCAGATATTAATTCATTTCAATCCAGCTCCGGGGTCTAAAACGCGAACTCGGATAAATTAAAATGAATTGCAATTTTTAATTAATTTCAATCCATTCTCGTTTACTGGGAACATTAGACATTTCAATTTGATTTCTTGTTAAGCGATTGAGAAAATATTTGTAAAGTAATTTCATAACTGAACGATCAAAAACAATTTTTTTTATTATAAATATTCTTGTAATAATTTTTTTATGTATTATAACATTTTGATAAAAAGATAATAAAATTCGATATTTTATTAAATATAGATGTGGCTGTACTAGTTTAAATCTATTTAAATAATGTTTGCTTTTTTTTTTCATACATAATTACATACACAAAATTAATTATGTCTTCAGTAGGTACATCAAATAATTATATGAGTAGATAAGTCACAGCGACTGATAACTGACTATCCCGACATGTTGCTGGACAATAACATTCACTTTCTATGCCTCACCCTGAATGCATGTATATGTATGCAATATACATACATATACAGTATATATAAACGATGTGCAATATAGAAACATGGTGGGGCAAGCAGTGTTTAAATAGACTGCCTAGATTGTCCGTCTTCCAGTTTACATTAAACGATTGTTGAATATAATCTTATTTTCATATAAGAATTTTCTCCTTACAATAAGTCGAGCGGAAGATAAAATTCAGAAATGATGAAGTTGATCTTCTTGCTCATAGTAATTGTAAGCGCGACGGCGTTAGATCTTCGTAAGTAACATAATGTGTACTTTCCTTTCAAATTATTTTATAAATTATATTGCTTTTATAAAAAAAAACTTATTAAAGCTATTAAATGTTCGTGTAAAAATATTAACATTAAAAAATTTTTTTAATTATAATAAAACTTTAAACTTTTCAGTTATAAAATAAAATTGAAGTTAAATTTTATTATATTTTAAATAATATTTTTATATAAATAAAATAAGCTTTCGATAATTTATATTTTTAATAGAATATGAACTCTAAAACATCGAAACTACATCTTATTTTATTTATTTTTTTCTTTGTATGAATTAGTAATAATATAATAACACTTCAGTTGTATTAAAATTAGTCACGATTATTCAAGTTTTTCTCGGCCTTTGCCCGAGTTTTTCTTATCCAATAATTGTCTGTCAAATTACATCTAATAAGTTATTTTACTACTGTGAATCAGTTGTTGACTGAAAAAAACTTAAATAAAAATCAAAATTTTAATACAATTATAGACTGCATTTTAAAATATTAAATTTATTGAAGAAATATGCTTTCATAATTTACTTACAAATTGTGTCAACATTATATTTTTTGTATTAATTTTTTACATGACATTTGTGTTACTTCCTAATGTATTCGTCTTGTATTAAATTAACAACAATTTGGATGGATCATTGGGGAATGTAAAAATATTGTTTTGTATTTTTATTGAATTTAATACAATAAACTTTGATTTAATATTAAAAAAATTATTTAAAGAAACTAAAATTTAGTTTGAAGTTAAATACAAAATTGAATTGTAAGTTTTTGTTTATCAAATATAATTTCACAAAATATAATTTTATAAAATATAATTTCAATAATAGTATATGTAATAATTATTATATATAACAATTTTCATATTTTGAAAAATAAGTAAAATATGTCATAAAAAAATTATATTTTATAAAATACTTAAAAACGTGAGTATAATTTTTAGTTAAATACTACATAGTTAGAAAATTTGTGTTATATAATATATTTCACGTTCCCCAATGATCCATCCAAATTGTTGTGTTAATTTAA